CTGAGTTTAATCTCTCTATTTAAAAGAGTTAGAGATAGTTCTTTCTCATTGAGTCTAGAAAAGAAATGAATTAACTCAGTTTTATTCATATTAAATTGAATTTGATTGATATCTGTTCTAACAAAGATTTTCTTTACAGCTTCTTCAATTACTTTCAAAATTCTCTTTGATAGTTTTGAGCTGTAGACTAGACCAATATCATTCACATAACTCAGAGATCACACTATTCTCATATTTCTATTTTTGAATAGATATGCAGTGTATATTGCAAATAAAATGAGTGAGATTGAAGATTCCTGTGATACTCCTATTTTTATCTCAGTCTTGTCTTATTTCATTCCATCAAAGAAGAGTTGTATAATTCTTTTAGACATAAAACAGTTAACTCATTTTATTAGAGAAAGTGGCAGTTTTAATATCTTCAATGTCTGAATTAACTTTGACTTTGAAACATGATCAAATGCTTTCTTTATATCAATAAAAACTGCAGTTGAGACCAGACCCTTATGTTTTGCTATTTGAATATCATGAACAACTGAGAGAACAGTGTCAATTGCAGAACACTGTTTTCTACCTCTCATTTATTCACTGAATAAAAGAGAATCATCTATAGAGCTTATAAAAGATAGTCAAGTAGCTATTATCTTTTCTAAAACCTTTTCTAAACAGTTCAATAGAGATATTACTCTATATAACTTAGAAATTGAAGTTTTTCTATTAGATTTTGCAAGAATCACTCCAGTGGCTTCTCTTCAGCATTCAGGATGATATTCATTTTTCAAGAGATTGAAAAAGAGCTCAAAATATTCATTCTTTAAGTAGGAATATGTATTTTGAATAATCAAGTGATTAATTGAATCAGGACCTGCAGCAGTTTTAACAGAACTTGAGAAGATAGCTGACTCTAATTCATCTTGTGTAAGATCAGGCCATTTCCAGTCATTTTCATCAATGTAGTTGAGAAGTGATATATTCTCTTCCTCTGAATCTGAATCTGAGTCTGATGAGTTCTGAAAGAGAATTCTCATGAAAGCTTGACATTTTTTCTCAAAAGAGTTTGCTGTATATGATTCATTCTGAAACTCATATTCTAAGGCTGGAAGTTTTGCTACACTTCTTGTTTTAGTATAGTTAAAAGCTTTAAAAATTTCCTTCCCTTGTGCTTCTTCAAGAAATTTATTCCAGCAGTCTGTTTTAGCTCTTTTGATATCTGAAAAATATTCATTTCTGACAGCTTTGAACTCTTCATCAGATATTACATTATTTTTCCAATCTCTTCTAGCAGTAGCTAATTCTTTCCTTTTAGATGAGATATTCTCATTTCATCAAGATTTTGAATACTCAGAAGATTTTCTTTTTGAAATATTATCTCTAACACTTGTTAGAATAATAGATGTAATAAGCTTCACTCTATTCTCAAGCATTTCATTTGAGATATCTTGACCAGAATTTCAATATAGCTCATTCTGTCTTTCAGATTTTAGCAGTTTTATACTTTCTTCAACTGCTTTTCAATCAGCTTTTTCAAAGTTATACTGATTAGAGAGAAGAGGATTTTCACTTATTTGTTTTTCACTCAGTTCAATATCAAATTGAATAATCTCATGACCTGATCCTGATGTCTCATTTGAATCAATAAACCAGTTTACAAGTCTTCTTTTCATTAGATTTTATGACATGAAGATTAGATCTATAATAGACTTCTGTTTCATGCCTTTTCTAAAGAATGTTTGTTGATCAGACTTATTAATCAAATCTATTGAATGCTCAAAGGTTCATTCAATCAGATTATCAGCTCTCACTGCTCTCTTGCATTCTGAATTTCATCAGGGATGATGTGCATTGAAATCTCCTGCAATTATAGAGTTTCTTGATGAAGTTATGTTCAGAAATCCTCTATCAATTGTCCAGATATTGTTATTTTCCTTCAATGACTTTTCATTATAGATATTTATGAGCTGTATAGTATCAAACTCATTTTCTTTATCTATAATATCACTCACCAGAATATCAGGGTCAGACATGATATCAAATCTTAGATTAAATTGATATCTTGATCTCTTTCTTCCATAGATCACTACTCTTGACTTTATCTCAGACTTTTGAGATAAAAAGCAGTAGTAGCTTGAATGAGAAATAACATATTTTTGCTCAGCATCAAAATTCGGCTCCTGAAGCAGTATAAAATCAACTTTTTATTCAAATACAATTTGAAGACAAGAATAAATACAATTTGAGTTTCTATCCACATTATTTTGAATAAATGTGATTTTTGAAGAGTTTTTAAACTTTTTTTGTTGTTTTTATTGTATATTCATACTAAAAGAGAGTAGAGTAGAATCTAATCACTATTATCAGATAGTAGATTATAACTGTTCTGAAAAGTAGGAATCTCAACTGCTTGCATTATATCTAGTTTATTATCAGAGTCATTTCTCAATTCTCTAATCTTAACAGAAGTTTGAGAATTCAAGTTCTGTTTACATTTAGCTGGAGAGTTGAAGTTTGAAGACTTAGATAGTTGAGAGTTTCTTCTTTTTGAGCTTGCAGTTGTAAGTTTACTGGCTTGACTCTTCTCTTCAGTTCTAGATTGACTTTGAGCTTCATCTTTTCTCCAGTTCTTTTGAGTTCTAGGAGCAAACATACATTCTTTTAAGCTAGATGCATGTTTTTCTTTACAATTAGAGCACTTAAGCAGAGTATGTTGACAAATTTCACCTCTTTTTGAGCATGTTTCATATTTATGCTCACTAGTTTTGTGATCTCTGACACAGAATGCACATTTTGAGTCTCTAAAATATGAGATTGCAAAGTGTTCATATCTTTGACAGTTTGAACACTGTGTTTGAGCTTTGAGGTTCATCCTTGAGTCTTTGTATTCATGAACTCTTATTTTCAAACCTGCTACTCTTACTTCAGAGATCTTTGACTGTTCAAGTGTTTTTGTATATACTAGAACAGAGGCATTTCTTCTGCTTTGTCTGAACTCAATTGAATTTAGTCATACAGGCTTCTTTCTCAGTTGAATAGAGTTGTATTCTTTCAATTCATTTTTGAGAAGTAGCATTCCTTCTTCACAGTCAAAAATTTCAACTGAAATATCATGAAGAATGAATTTGTCTCACTTTTCATCTCTTTCAGATAGAATTGTTGTGTTTAACAAAGATTCTACTGCTGACTTTCAGAGATTCTCATTCTGAATAAGGAATTCAGCACTGAATTCAGGCATTGTAGTCAGAATGATGAAGTTTTCAAAGAATGATGATTCAATTGAAGCTATAACTGGTTTTTGAACTTCAATATCAGTCATCAACTGAGAAAAGAACTGCTGGTTAATTTCATTTCTGATTCTGAAAATGAGATTTGAGTTTAGCTTGTTTCTTTGCAGAATGTCCTGGTTTGAGACTTTGAGAATAAGTCTTCTATTTCTGAAGATTTGAAAGTTTTTCTCTTTTTGCATTTTCTTTTCTACTTTTCTATGAATAGAGGCATGAGCAGTATTCTTCTCAGTTTTCTCAGGATTTTGAGCAGGTTTTGAGACAGCAGATTTAGAGACAGCAGGTTTAGAGACAGTAGATTCAGCTGCTTGAGCATATGTTTTCTTCTGATTCAAAGAAGGAGAAGAAGAAGAAGTAGAAAAGAAAGAAGAGCAAACTGAAGAGTCAGTGATTGTATTAGAAATTTTCAAAGTTTTTTGAACTGTGTTTGAAATTCCAAGTTTGAACTTGATCACTTCCTGTAGTTGTCTAGCCTGAGCATGAAGAATTAACAGAACTTCTTCATTCATCTCACTCAGACACTGCTTTTCAAGAATTTTACTTGCTTTTTCAAGTTCCTGTATTTCAAGAACTTGTTGTTTCTCTATCTCTTCTTTCTTTCTTCTCTTCAGAATTTCAATCTCAGGAATAGTATTTAAGAAAGCATCTTTCTCCACAACAACTGAGTGTACTTTTGAACTCATTGTTCTTACTCAATGAAAAGTTGGTCAGACTAATTCAATTGAGATATTTATTAAACTCTTTTTGAATTGAAAAGTTGATCAGACTGTTTCAATTAAGAGGTTTCTAAGTCTGTTTTCAATTGAAAAGTTGGTCAGACTATTTCAAAAGAAGAATCACAGACTTTTGTGTATAAAACACCTGATTTTTTTCACACTAGTTCAGTAACTAGGTTAGATTTTTGAAGAGAATCTAATAAACTAAAATTGATTTTTAAGATAAATCAATAAAATCTTTACAATCTCTTTCTTGGGATACAATGAGGAAAAGTATGATATCAATTGATAGTAAATCAGATAATATGACAGTTTTTGAGAGAAAAACTGACAAAAAATAAATCAATTTTTTGAAGAGAAATTGATTAAAACTATTCAATTTTATTCTAAATTATTCAATTCTTCTCACACAACAGGTGTGCAACTCAAATCAGTTAATAAAGAGTGTAAAAAAGAATTAAGTATTAATGAAAGCTCTTCAGCCACTGAAAAAGTAATTCTTACTTAAAAGAATATGAAATTATGACAGAAAACAACTCTGTTTTTAATTCTTTGTAAGAATATTGTGTAAAACCCAGAGAAAAACACCTTACTTTTTTAAGAGAAGTAAAAAACTATTTCTAAAATCTTTTTTTTGCATTAACTGCTGCAGAAGAATGAGATAGAAACTGCTAAGATATGCACTACTGTATACCCTCTATCAAGACTTTCTCTCTTCAGAGTCTTGATATTATAGAGAATATAAGTCTGTTTCTATATGATAATATAAATATTGTCAGCGGGATGTAGAGGAACTGGTTATTTATATCTTAAAATAGAAGACTTTGTCAATGATTATATCAATATAGAGTTAATTCTCAAATTCAATAGAAACCTAGTGTTGCTGTTCTCAATCTCTTGCAGAATCTATTGAATATTGAGGTATTAAAACTAGATTTAATATATCTCACTGTGCAGGGATCAAAGGCTCAGTCAGACCTTGGGATATACTGATTTTATAGTTGTCATGTCTGCCGATTATGTATTGAGTACAGTTGCTGAGGTATCTTTTTGTACTTTTCTGTCGGGGATGGGCCAGATTGAGAGAGGTGGTACGAGGGTGAGACTTGGCGTTGATGTCCAGATACACTGAAGACAGACCGCGGAGGTTGCACTTCAGAAGTGGCCGTTGGTTATGTGCTTGATATTATCGCCGAGGTATCTTTTTGTATTTTTCTGCCGGGGATGGGCCAGATTAGGAAGGGCGGTACAACGGTGGGACTTGGCGTTGGTGTTTTGGAACATCAAAGATGGACAGGGTTTTCGCGGAGGTCGCTCCTCAGATATCTCCACAACTACAGATCGGGGATCTTCCAAAATCGAGAAGATTGGTGCATATGGCTAGGTCTCTTCACCTTACAATTTGTATGGCACTTTGGCCCGGGGTTGTGGTGTGGTAGGGGAGAACGGGGGATACTCCCACACAGGAGTTTCGAACAACGTCCGGTTCACGTTTGGCTGGATAACTCCACCACCACACAGGGTATGCGGTCGGCGATGGGGTCAGAATGCTCGTATGATCGAGGGCTTTTCGATGGATCTATCGGCGGGTTCTTATTCGAAAAATTGAGCGAGTTCGTGGTGGAGCGGTTGTACGGCTACTGTTGGAATCTATTGAATATTAAGGTATTAAAACTAGATTTAATATATCACACTGTGCAGGGATCAAAGACTCAGTCAGACCTTGAGATATACTGATTTTATAGTTGTTGTCATGTCATTGTCCGCTGATGATGTATTAAATACTGTCGTCAAGATATCTTTTTGTATTATTCTGCCAGGGATGAGCTAGATTGAGAGAGGCAGTAAAAGAGTGAGACTTGATATTAATGTCTTGATACATCAAAGACAGACAGAGTTTTCATAAAGATTGCACTTCAGATATCTGTTGATTATATGCTTGATATTATTACTGAGATATCTTTTAGTATTTTTCTGTCAGAAATGAGCCAGATTGAGAAGAGTGGTATGAGAGTGAGACTTAGTGTTGATGTTTTAAAACATCAAAGATAGACAGAGTTTTCACAGAGATTGCTTCTCAGATATCTTCACAATTATAGATCAGAGATCTTTCAAAATCAAGAAGATTGATGTATATGACTAGGTCTCTTCACCTTACAATTTGTATGGCAATTTGGCCCAGGGTTGTGGTGTGATAGAGGAGAACAGGGAATAATCCCGCACAGAAGTTTCAAACAACATCTGGTTCATATTTGACTGGATAACTCCATCATCACACGGGGTATGTAGTCAGCGATGGGGTCAAAATGCTTGTATGATCGAGGACTTTTTGATGAATCTATCGCCGGGTTTTTATTTGAAAAATTGAGCGAGTTCGTGGTGGAGCGGTTTGTAATTATGCTTTGTAGAAGATTTAACATCTTTATATGATAACTGAGTGTAAGAAAGAATGAGCTTACATCTGTTAAAATAGCATTTTGATCATTAATAATAACCTCTGTGTATAGAAGAAGATTATGTCAATCATCTTATAAGTAATTACAGAACTTAGAAAGATAATTCTTTACAGTCTGAATTATTTATTCTGATATATTATCAGTCTCAGAGTGATAAGCAGTTGACAGATAGTGTATAATCTTGAAAACTTGACAGATTCTTATTCAAAGAGTGCTTATAAATTAACAGCTCTGATCTAATACTATAGATCTTAGTAATTTATATATTCTGTAAGAGGTCTACGCCGAATAGATCGGTATAATATTTATAGATCTTATATAACCAAGTGAAAAACATTAGAGAAGGAAAGAAAGAGAAAGTGTGAAAATCAGTAATCAGAGTGAATATTTATATGTGTATGTAGTGATGTACACAGTGAAACTTTGAGGTAAAAGAATAGGGGTTTTTGTACATAATGAAGCTTCAGAGCAGAAGAATAGAAATTTCATAGATTTTTAGCTAAGAATTAGTGACTGAGAATTGAAGTGATAGAAATCTGTGAAGTGTAACAGAATAGTCTATATAATTGATCAGGTACAGTCTGTTACATTAGTCTCTCTCTCTTTCTTAATTCTATGTAGCTCGCATCAGTCAAGAGCTGTGATCTTAGATAATATAGAACACAGAGTTCAGATCAGATAATTATAGCTGACTCATTTCATAAGATATTATCAGCTATGACTGTGAGATCTCTTATTAAAAATATCTTCAATCTCTCATTTAAGTTCATTATCTTCTTCTATGATCTCTGACAGCTGTCAGTTGAAAGTCAGTTGAGAAGAGAACAGATCAGTGATAGCATGACAGAGAAAGCTTGTATAAAAGATATCATGAATCTCTGATAATATGTTAAGATAATAGTTATAACTGTCTAGAACTTCTATTACTTTATACTTTATATAATGATAATTCAGTGTATGAGATAAGTATGTGATTTGTATATTCTTAAGATTTAATTATATCAGATCTTCTATCTTATATTACTTGATAAGATCTCAGTGAACATTGATTTGATTTTCTTAATTCTATTTAATATTTATTATAAAGACTTCTGCTCAATCATGAGTGTTTCAGAGTTTTATTACTATATTATTAATAATCTGAATTAAACTGCAAGAATTTGATATAAAATGTATAGTCTCTAGAAGATTCAGTACTTTCATATAATATTTATATATGAAAAAGAACAGACTTACATCTGTTAAAACAGTATCTCAGTCATTAATAGTGACTTCAGTATATAGAAGAAGATCATATTAATTATCTTATAAGTAATTACAGAACTTATAAAGATAATTCTTTACAGTCTGAATTATCTATTCTGATATATTATTAGTCTCAGAATGATAGACAGTTAATAAACAGTATATAATCTCAAGAACTTAACAGATTCTTATTTAGACAGTGCTTATGAATTAATAGCTCTGATCTGATACTATAGATCTCAGTAATTCATATATTTAATAGAATAGACTTCTTAGAAAAGCTTCAGTAACTTGTTCAGTATTTATCTTATTATAAGATTTCAATATTACACTCTTACTTAATCAGTTCACAATGATCAGAATATTTCTATAATTCTTACTCTCAGAGAAATTAATAGTAAAGTCAATTATCATATCTTATCAGATTTCATTAGAAATATTAAGCAGTTTCAGCAGGTCTTTTCTACAGTTCTTTCACAAGATAATAGAGAAATAATAGTTATAGTTTTAAAAAAAATATCTAATACTGTTTAATATCTCAGATCAGTAGAACTCTTAAGAGATTATTTAATATAGTTATTTATAATCTGAATAGCTAATCATACAAGAGTCATACATCTCTTACATTATTCAGATATATAAGAGTTCAGAGTAAGAGACTCAGTATTATTCATAAAATTATAGAGTATTATTATCATTAATTGAATATTCTGAGATGTTGATTCTTATACATAGTTCTGAGAGAAATCAGAGTACTTCTTATTATACTGCTTCAGTGAGTACTTAAAGAAGTTCATCAGTTTAAGCTGCTATATATCATAGTTCATCTAATATGAATTCAGAAGAAGTTAAGATATCAGTGATAGTTTTAATTGAAGAATTATGTATAGTGCTATGAGCTGTTTTATCTTGATTAACTAGTATCTTTGAATTCAAGAGCTGATACTCTCAGTTCATTCTACAAGTATCTGTTACATCAGATGATATATCTTACTCTTATTATAAGAGAGTATCTGTTATCAAGTTCTGACTGTCAGAACAGTAGTGTATTATAAAATAAAAGCAGCTTAAGAACTCAGATTATTATATCTATTATTCAGTGAGTTTATAGATAGTTATAAAGTACTTGAGATTCTTATAATCTGTGATTATCTCAAATTCAGAGACACTTTAGAGTTCAGAGTCTCATTCTTCTAGATAGTATATAATTGTGAGAAGTTTCTTATCATAGATCTCATAGTTGTATTCAGTGAGACTCAGTTTCTTAGATATGAAAATATATAATTGTAAAATATCTTTATTATCATATTATAATATAACTTCTTCTGTGATATAGTCAGAGAAATCAGCTTCAATAACTATCTTATGATCAGAATTGAATATTATCAGTAGAAAGATATCAATGAACATCTTTTTTATCTATATAAATACAGCTTCAGTGTCTGCTGATTATTGAAATACTGAGTCTTTTTTAGTGAGTTCTGTAAGTAATCTCATAATATCTGAGAAGTTTTATATAAATTACTGATAGAAGTTAGTGAATTCAATGAAGCTTTGTATATCTTTCACAGTATATAAAGTCTCTTACTTGAGAATAGCAGAGACTTTCTCAGAATTTATTTGAATTCTCTTATCAGCTTCTATGATAAAGTCTAGATATTTTATACTCTTGACTTTGAAATCATACTTATCAATATCTATTAATAGTTCTATCTCTTATAATTGTTGTAATATTTTCTGTATATATTCTTGATATTCTTTTCTAAATTCATCAGTGAAGATGAGAATGTCATCTAGATATATAGATATAAACTTATTAAGAAAATCTCAGAGTACTCAGTTAATATACTTCTGAAATATACTGAGAGTATTAGCCAGTTCAAAGAGTGTGACTACTTATTTAAAGAGACTATAACATGTTTGAAATACTGTAAGTTATTCATCTTCTTCAGTGATACAAATTTTATAAAACACAGTGATAATATCTAGTTTTATAAATTATTAAGCTCATCTGATATATACTAGAGTTTCATTGATAAGAGATAAGAGATAATAATCTTTCTTTATCAATCTATTCAGATCTTGATAGTTCACACAGAATTCAAGTTCTTTATCTAGCTTCTTTACAAAGAGAATAGAAGCTGCAGTAGAAGAGTTATTAATATATATGAATTTCTTATTCAACAGATTATTGAGTGTCTTCTAAAGAAGAAGAAGTTCATCTCAAGATATATTATAAAGAGAGTTTCATAATAACTCAGAGTTCTTATCATTCTTCTTATCTAACTTAATACTGTGATTTACTTCTGAGTCTTGTAAAGAAGATATATTTATAATATTATCTTACCAGAAGATATCTAGATATTCATGATATTATTAAGACAGTTTTGTGTGAGAATGTGTTATTATAGTATGAGATAAGTTTTCTAGAGCTTTCTTAATATCAGTCAGACTGATGAAATAGATTGATATATAATCTTACTATCAGTGACTTTATTAGTGACTCTGTCAGTGATTTTAATAATAACTTCTTTTTCAGAGTATTTTATAAGCATTGACAGAGATCTGTGTAAGATTCATAGTCTTATAAATATTATCTTTGTGAATTCTATCATTGTTAGAGAATATTAAGATTCTGTTTTAAGTATTTAATAAGATGTCTTATTCAGATAGTCAGACAAGTTCTAGTATAAGATTATAGTCAAGATTATTAACTTTGTATATATAGACATCTTCATATTAATATTCTCTGACATCTATATTTAGGTTTATCATGTAATAAGTGTGAATGTCTTTTAAATCATTAAATTCTGTGAGAAGTCAGAGTCTTGATAAGAAGATACACTGAAGATTATAATATCTTATAATTGAAGATTTAATTATTATATAATGACATAGATCACTGTCTATCATGACTTTCATATTATACATATTATCTATCACAGTAGATATAAGAATTACATTTATTGTTATTTTCTCTTCAAATTATTATTATCTGACCTCTTCAAGCTTCTGCTTGTGAATTTGAATAGAAGTTAATCTTTTCCCTGTTTCATTGAGATATTCTCATAGTTATCTTCTGAGTCCTTCTCTAATATAACATGATTAATGCAGACAGATGCTGATTCATTCTTTAAGTGAGAAGATATATAGGCTGATTAACAGTTGAAAGTAATATACTCTGATCAGTTATAGTTAATGTACACTTCTTATTAATATGAATCAGTAACTTCTTTGAGAGTGATCTCAAAGACTCAGAAGCCTGTTTAGATGATGAAGACTCTTGCTTATATATAGATATTTAAGTCTACTCAGTTCATAGCATCTGTATTATTGTTATTATTTCTCAGTACAGGTATATAAGTAGCTGAGTTATTTCTCAGCACAGATGTGTAAGTGAAATATCTTCTATCACTGTTTTATATACTCTTAAGCTTGATAAGACAGTTATTCAATGTTCAGAGCTGTGTGCAGAAGTCTTTATAAGTTAAGTCTTTGTTTATACTTATGAGAGTTTGTAAGAGTTCAAAAGTTAGTATCTTCTTAAGCATACTAATATTTATTCAATTCTTTCAAGATTGATCACCTGCTTCTAAGATCTTGGTATTAAAGTCAGAGATGAATATTATGAGAGAAGTATTTCTCTGTCAGATACTCTATAATCAATTTAATACTTTCTGTTATATAACAGTATCTCAGAACAGAATATCAAGATGTTTGGTAATATTATCAGATATTTATAATACTGATTCACATGCTTTCATTCATGAATGAAACTTCTGTTTCACATAATTCTTCAATTATTCATTAATATATTAATCTTGATTAATTAGTGAACTAATGACATCTTGATCTACACTCAGTTTCATGAGTATTTTCATTCTTCATGATGAGTAGAGAGTGAGATTGAAAGTATTAAAATATACAGAAGTATCTAAGTGTTCTTTCAGCACTCTTGTATTTAATTCTGTAAATATTGAAATTGCATGAGTTTCTTATTGAATTAATTATTAAATTTTCTTGTATTGAAGTTATTGAGTTGTATGTATATCAGCTATCTATTACTGTTGTAATTTTAACATTACTCAGAGCTACTGTGATATTATATCTATACTTATGTTTGAGAGTTCTCTCATATTATCATTAGACATGCTTATATTAATTGTTGAATGTGTGATATCTGTATAATTGAAAGAAGTATAATTATATGAATATCTCATATATCTGTGATATTAGAACTCTCAGATCTTTCACTAACATTCTCTTTATAAGATCTTACTCTCTTCATAAGATCTTGTTACAGAGTCAGAGTGACTGAGAAGTAAGCTTTTATCTGAGAACTCAGTATCTGCTTAACTGTTTGACTGTTTCTCTATTTCTTATATGTTATTACACATTCAGATATCTCAGTAAGTAATCATTTCTAATAAGAAGATGATGAATGTTTTTCAAGTGTAAGAGGCCTATGCTGAATAGATCAGTATAATATTTATAGGTCTTATATAACAAAATAAAAAACATTAGAGAAGAAAAGAAAGAGAAAGTGTGAGAATCAGTGATTAGAGTGAATATTTATACATGTACATAGTGATGTATGCAGTGGAACTTTGAGATAGAAGAATAGAGGTTTTTGTATCTAGTGAAGCTTCGGGGCGGAAGAATAGAAATTTCATAGATTTTCAGCTGAGGATCGGCGACTGAGAATTGAAGTGGTAGGAATCTGTGAAGTGTAACGGAATAGTCTATATGATTGATCGGGCGCAGCCCGCCACATATTCAATAGAATGAGCTCTGTAGAAAGACTTCAGCAACTTGTTCAGTATTTATCTTATTTCAAGATTCTAATATTACATCTTTACTCAGTCAGTTAATAATAATCAGAATATTTCTATAACACTTACTCTCAGAGAGATTAATAGTAAAGTTAATTACTACATCTTATCAGATTCTATTAGAGATATTAAGTGATTTCAGCAGGTCTTATCTACAATTCTTTTATAAAGTGATAGAGAAATAATAGTTACAGTTTCAGATAAAATGTCTGATACTGTTTAATATCTCAGATTAGTAGAATTCTTGAGAGATTATTTAATACAGTTATTCATAATCTGAATAGTCAGTTATATATAAATCATGTATCTCTTATATTATTCAGATGTGTGAAGATTCAGAATAAGAGACTCAGTATTATTCATGAAATTGCAGAGTATTATTGTCATTAATTAAGTATTCTGAGATGTTAGTTCTTATTAGACTGGCCGCTGGGACTATGAATTTCACATTTAGTCTCATTTGGTCTGGTCCCATACATTTCTTGGTGTGAATCCCACTGGGACTGGCTATTAAAAAAACATGTAAAGTGACTATATATCAGATCTTAAAATGAAATCATGACTTGAAAAAAATGAGAAAGTGGTCTCATTTGGTCTCATTTAGTTCCATTCTTGGTATAAAGTTACTATTTTTAGACATTTTAAGGTTTTTTTTAGACTATTTTTAATTTTTTAAAAAGTAACACTTTTTGATAACACTCAAATGAGATTTAAAGTCATTTAAAGCAATAAAAATAATTTAAATTGAGAAGTGAAAATCATGATCTCATTTGAAAAATGTGATAAGAGTAGACAGTAAGTTTTACTGAGACAGTATGAGACTACTATCTAATGTTAAAACTGTGTAATGGGATCAGTTGAATTGGTAATGAGACTATCAAAAAATCTGGTCCTGGTCCCAGACACGGTCACACGGTCAGTCTAATTACAATATACTCAGGATTTTCATTTGCATTGCAGAATGAGCACTCTGTTGAATTAAATCTATCATCAAATCTTTGTATATAGGATTTGAAATAATCATGTCCTAGTTTCAGCTGAATTATAGATGAGAATATTTTCTTTTTACATTTAATTGAACAAGATTTTCACTTTGGTTTTGTCTCAAATCTTGAATAATGTATACTCTTCTTTTGTTCCTGCCAGCTTTTATTTTACTTATTTAAACAAGATTCTTTTATCTTTCTCTCTATGAAAGATCAGAACACTGTTTTTTGAATAGATCTGCTTAATTCTGAACTCTTTTTTTGCAGCTGAATCAGCCAATTCATTGTCATGAATATTCATATGAGCAGGAACTCAGTGCAGATGAATTATCAGTTTTAATATTCATCTCTTTTGAATTTTCAAAACAGAGTTTAAAATCAGTTCAAGATTCATTTGATCATTATGAATCTGACTATTTCTAAGTTTTTTTAAAGCAGCTTAACTATCAGAGAATATTCATACCTCTTTCAAAGTATTTTCTCTTTTATGAGATTTTATTTCAATGAGTTTGAAAGCTTTCACTATTATAAATAGTTCAGTATTAAAGACTTCAGATTCACAGCCTAAATTTCAGAAATCTGAGATAAAATTGATATTATCTTCAGTATAAGCAATGTCTGCGCCTAATTTATTTAAATTCTCATTTTTTGAGCCATCTGAGTAAACCAGAATAGAGTTTTTTATATTGATTGTAGAGATCTTCTTTAAATACTGTTTATATTCTCTCTCTTTAGATAGTTCACTTATTTGTAAGTCTATGAGAGATTTCAGCTTTTTTCTCTTCAGAGAGATATCTTCTCATGATCAATGTTCTCAACATTTAATGAAGAAACTTGATTTTTAGTAAGTGAACATAGTCTATAAAGTTGAGAGGATAATTTCTTTAAAGCATTATTCTCATTTCAATCAAGAAATCTATTTCAATCCAGTTCATTTTCTGAGTTAACTGATGAAAATGAAGAAGAAACTCTTTCTCTGATTATATGATTTGAGCTCATCTTCATGACTCTCAGAGCATAGTTCATACAGGCTTTTTCAAATTGAATAGTAGAAGGTGGAATTGAATCTTCAATTTCCATTGCTTTAATAGAAGATGATTGGAATGCTCTCAGAATTCTTCTCAAAGCTCTGTTTTATACACTTTGAAAGAGTTCAGTGAAATTACCTTGATTATTCTCTCAAACTTGAACTTCATAATCAGCTACTGAGATAATACAGGCTATGTATAACTGTCTCATAGCCTGAAAGGATAGACCTCTCTCAGTGTTTGATAGTCTGATTATACTATTCAGTAGTCTCTCTGCCTTGATGATTCTTTGTTGCATATGATATTTAAAAATCAACTTGGAGTTTAATCATACTTCTAGCCATTTGACATTCAAACTGGGTTTAATCTCTTTATTCAAAAGGGTTAGACTTAGTTCTTTCTCATTATCATAACAAGTGTTCTTGTAGTGCTTATACTGAGCAGTTTGTGAGTAGTAAGTATAATATATTATGAAATGTGATCAGAACTTGTTTATCTTCTAATAATTATCAGAACATACTATTATGAATGACATATCTTCTTCTTCTTCTTATATATTCTTAATCTTCTTTTCTTAGCAGATATCTGATCACGTTTTCTGATCATATTTTCTGATTATGTTTTGCATGAATACAGATGCTGATATATTTGTTTTAATTTGTGTAGAATCTTCATATGTTGACAGATTCTTATCTGCAGATAATAGTGAACATCTCAATATTGAATTATTAATTGAGAACTTGAAGAATGCTATAATGAAGAGATTGTCTATGTTATATTTAACTGAGTCTTCTGTGTCTCTCTCTACTCTCTCTGTTTCTTTCTCTGTTACTTTCTCTCAATCTTCTACACTTGTCTCTGTGTCTGATTCTCCCGCTTCTGCTACCTCTGTTTCTGTGATTCTCACTTCTGTTCTCACTACTTCTGTTCTCTCTGTCTCTGTCACTTCTGCCTTTGTTATCAGCTCTTCCTGTTTCAAGAAGATGTTGTATAGACTTAGTAAATCACATTTCTCAGCATATATACTTCTGTTCTTCTTGCTAATCTCTAAAATAATTTATTACATAAAGACTGTGTACAATACAACTATCTGAAGCTCAGTCACAGACACTGATTATTACATTTATTTTAAGTATTTATAATGAGATAATTATTTATTTATACTGAAGCATCACCTCTCTTCTCAACAGTATTAAGATTGTATAAGTCTTTTCTTTTTAACACTGATTTTTCTGTTCTTAGAGAAAATTATTATGAGTTTGATTATGCATGAAGTTGTGACATTCACAGATATTAAGAAACTTTTTACAACTGTTAAATTTAATATTGCAGATATATATGCTCTGATGAATATCTTCAGAATAATTAATCTGTATCAGTTGATTCTCTAACATTTGTTATCTGACTTTGTGATACAGGTGAAGAATATTCATGGTTTCAGAAATGAGAATATGAATGTCATACTTTTTTACACCTGTGAATGTGAGACTTGTACACCTTGTCTGAGATGTTATTATAAGAATAAGTTATTCATATACTGTGTTCTGCTTCCTGCATTTCTTCATGTCTCTCTCTCTCTTGCTGAGAAGCCTCATATGTGTTGTAATTATGTATACAACTCTAAGGCCAGTGAGTGTTCATTAAGTAACTGTTTTCATCTTTGATTTTGCAGTTTTTATATGTTAACAATGATTCCTAGTTACTTCAGTATTAGAGATTATTGTAATCAAAGATGATAATACTGCTGAGACTATCTTCTTCTGTTCTTAAGCTTCTTCTATCATTATCTCTTTCTTCTCTGCAGAGAAGGTTATACATATACTAAGTTATAAGTATTCAGCTCTAAGTGACTTCTACTGTTATTTATCTGATTCTGTATTCTCTTCTTCTTCTGTTTCTTTCATCTTCACTCTCTCTACTCTGGCTTCTGATTCTGCAGATCTCATACTCTTCTTCAATTTTTCTATACACACATGTACACATTTCTATATTAGTATTTCAGTCAATTTTATAATAAATGATATTAATATCATACACAGAGTGATAGAGAAATCAGAGACATGTACAGTGTTATTATAAGAGTAGCTTACAGCTAGACTGACTGTGTGACCGTGTCTGAGACCAGGACCAGATTTTTTGATAGTCTCATTATCAATTCGACTGATCCCATTACCCAGTTTTAACATTAGATAGTAGTCTCATACTGTCTCAGTGAGACTTACTGTCTACTCTTGTCACATTTTTCAAATGGAATCATGATTTCCACTTCTTAATTTAAATTATTTTTATTGCTTTAAATAACTTTAAATCTCATTTGAGCATTATCAAAAAGCGTTACTTTTTAAAAAATTAAAAATAGTCTAAAAAAAACTGTAAAATGTCTAAAAATAGTAACTTTATGCTAAGAATGGAACTAAATGAGATCAAATGAGATCACTTTCTCATTTTTTTCAAGTCATGGTTTCATTTTAAGATCTGATATATAGTCACTTTGCATGTTTTTTTAATAGCCAGTCCCAGCGGGATTCACGCCAAGAAATGTATAGGACCAGACCAAATGGAACCAAATGTGAAATTCATGGTCTCAGCGGCCAGTCTACTTACAGCTCTCAAATTTCTTATAAATCTCAAGTTTTGAGATTTTCTTTGTTTTTGATGTTTTTCAGATGATATCACATTGAAAATAGATTAAATATATAATATATGAAAATGAATGAGATGTGTATAATAATATTTATCTTTTATAACTGACTCTTACAGTTGATAATCAATTCATTATCTCTTCTCTTTTCTTACACTTTTTCTTTATCTGCGAGTTACTACTTTTATATAATCTGTATATAATACAGTGTTCAGTGACTAGGTTCAGCAGCTTTTATATTTTGTAATTCTGTCTCATGTATTATACTGTCTCTCTTCACCTGCTCAGACTACTACAGTAAACAGCTTATTAAAACTAATCTCATCTGATCTCTGAGCATTCTCAGAGATTAAGATGACTTGATCTCATATGTCTGTGAATGTTTCAGATACTTCATTCTCTGTTATCTTCACAATTGAACTGATATAAACAGTTAAATTCAACTCTGAATTTCTTTTTCTTCTGTGATCTGATTCATGTATAAGTCTGTCACTCTGAGACTGCTCTTTGCTATGTTATATTCACTATCTATAATATATTATCATATAACTGACTACAGTCTCATCACTTATTAAAGTGTAGTATTCATCTGATTTCTTCATTACTTCTCATTCTTTTCTTATAATTATGAAAAGATCAGAATAAGTGAGATTATCTGATTTATAAGTATCTATGATTTCTCTTACTTTGTAAGACTTTTCAATTGTAAGTCTCTTCTTTTTCAACACTGATAATAGTGCTGTGAATCATTATAATTCACTCAGATCTTATATCTTTGTCTTTATAAGATGTGAATCATTTAGTAAGTTGTATAAGATCTGTTTCTCTGATTCTTTCAATGTATATATTCTCAGAGAATGTGATTTGAGTATTTTATAGAGATTAAATTATCTAGATTGAAACTTCTCAGAACACTTATTATATATAAGAACTTACATTCTTATCTTGAGACTTGATTTCTTAACCAGTAAGTCTCATATTCTTTTTCATTAAATTACTCAGTTCAGAAGTAACTTGTTAGCTTTTACATGTGTATAGCTGATTTCTTTCAATCTTAATTCTATATCTGTAACTACTGTGTTCACAACTGTTGCATCTGCAACTGCTGTTTTCTTTCTCATCTTTTTCAAAGCATTCTTCAGAATGTGCAGATACAATTCATACAACAGATAAAATGATAAATTCTTAGAGACTATATACTACTGAATTCACATGACTAATAGCATCTGACTGAGATATTCATCTCATAAGCTTATAGACTTACTCACTAGATATTTTATCAGTATATTGCTCAGCATTTCATTCAAGTGTTTCATCTTTCTATTTATTCATGAATGATATGATGTTATTCTATAATATCTTGTCTATAACTAGCTTATGAAATGCCTCACTACTTCTTCTATAAGATTCACACTGTTATCAGTTAGACTCTCATGCAGTATTTCATAGTTGATATAGATCTCATTGTGTAGAAACTTCATCATCATTTTCTCTATTATCTCTGAAACTGCTTTTACAACTGATCAGTCAGTAGTATAGTTAATAGCAGTGATTATTCAACAATTTCCATTTAATATTCACAGTAGTATATCTATGAGATCTATCTCTCATTGTTTGAATAGTTGTATTATACATTTCATCTGATATTACACTTTCTTATATTCTAACCCTCTTCTAGATCTCTTTATAATCTGATAATTTAGACACTTGTATATATATATCTGAATGTTCTCAGTCATGCTTGATCAGTATACTCTTGATTTAAGTATACTCATGAGTTCAGAGCTTTCTAAGTGACTGAATTCCTTGTATATTTAAGTCATTAAGTCATGTTTAAATAAATGTTTTAGATAGAAAGCTTCTGCATATTCTAGATTGTGATAAAGTATAACATCATTTTTCAATTTTCTCAGCTTAAAGTTCAGAAGTATCTCTTCGACTACTTTTATAAGATGCTTATCATCTGATATCTTATTATTCTTCAAGTAAGAGATTATTATATTCACTTATTCTGATTTCTTACATTCTCTCAGTGTGTTTAATATAAACTTTTCTTATATCTGATTCATAGAACTCTCACTCATGACATCAGGTCTGTGACTGATTGTATCAGATATTATAGTGTTCAATCTCTTTCAGTATTTAATATGAAAATTGTATACTTAAAACTTTAAGATTCAACATACTAAGTGTTTGAAGAACTTTATTATTAATTGTAGATAGATAAGACTTTCATAATCTGTAATTACTGTTGTTATATATCTATTATCAATATATCTATCTTATAATATCAGTGTGTGCTTGATCACTAGTAATTTCTTTTCATATACTGAGTAATTGAGCTCAACACTCAATAGTTTTCTATCATTATATATTATCAGATGCAGCTTGCTATTCTTACTCATTTACAGAAGAGTATCTCTGATAGCTTATTCAGATATATCTATCTTAATATAGAAAGATTTATCATGATCTGATTGAATAAGTACTGAGAATGTTATTATATATTCTCTCAGTATGAGAAAGACCTCTTTGCATGTAATATTTCAGATAATTGAATGAAACTTCTTCTTTTACAGATTTGCATCTATCTCTCTTAAGAGATCTGAGAGTGATACAGCTATTCATGTAAAATCTTTAATAAATCTGTAATAGTATGAGACTAACTTAAGAAATTATTGTACATGGTGTACATTTCTCAGCTGCAGTCAATTTACTATGATATTTAATTTCTCTGAGATCAGATGTATACAGTCATCACTTATCACATGTTTCATTAACTTCAACTCTTTTATTTCAAACACATACTTAGTTAATTTAATGTAGAGCTTATACTCTATCAGAGTTATAAACACTTCATCAAGATATTTCAGATATTCATTGTATAAGTTTGAGAAGACTAGAATATCATTCAGATATATAAGGTATAAGATTTTATTCTATTTATACAGAATTGTATTCATTATTATTTCAAAGATAATGAGTATATTTATCAGACTGAATAATATTATCAGGAATTTGAACTTTTCTTATTATATATTAAACATGATTCACAGTACTAACAGTTTATCTATATGAATCTACTAATATTCTGAGAGAAGATTAATTTTTGATAAATATCAGATATTTTCAACTGTATACAACTGTTGTTGAATTCATGATAATAAGTATCTATTCTTGATTATAAGCTTATTAAGTACTTGATAATTGATACACATCTGTCACTTCTCACTTATATTTTTCATGAATAGAACTGGGAAGTTTCACACACTTGATAAGAGTTGTATAAGATCACATTCTAGAAGGTCTGTGATCTGATACTTCTGTTCTTTAACATGTATTTGTGACAGAGAATATACATTCTGATTGACTGATTTCACATTTCTCAT